ATAATTTGATTGATTTGGAATTCTTGGTTGCAATATGCCTAAATGTATAATGGTTATATCTAAAGCGTGTAATCCAATTTCATTATTTTTTGAAGTTATTTTGCATATGTTCTATATATCGGAAAACAAGTCATCGATGACTTCCCACATATATGGACAAAATCGCCGGTGGCTTTGAAACCATTTTTCTCCTAAAAATGTTTATGAAAATAAAGTTATTGATAACTTTTCACTTATGTGATAAAGCTCGTCAATGATTTTGATATCATTTTGTATGTGTTCGTTTGTTAAAAAACAGGTCACTAATGGCTTCCCACTTATATGGATGGAGTAGTCAATGGCTTTTTATTTTTAATTTTATTTAATTATTATGGATGGAGTCATTAGTGACTTCCTACTTATGTGTAGAAGTTGCTAGTGGCTTTAAAGTCATTTTACCTATTTTCTGTTTGTTCTAATTGAAATCATTAGTAGCTCTCAAACCAATTTCATTTTCAAATTACTATGAATGAAGTCGTTAATAGCTTTTTACTTATGTGACGAAGTAATTACCGACTTCAAAGTCATTTTACTTGTTTTCTATTTATTCGAATTAAAGTCACCAATGGCTCTCGAACCAATTTCATTTAATTTTGAATTGTTGTGGATGAAGTTGCCAATGGCTTTTCACTTATGTGACGAAGTCACTAGTGGCTTTAAAGTTATTTTACATGTTTTCTATTTTTTGAATTAAAGTCGCTAGTAGCTCTAGAACCAATTTCATTTAAGCTTGAATTACTATGGATGGAGTCGCTAGTGGCTCCCCACTTATATGACAAAGTCGCTAGTGGCTTTAAAGTCATTTTACCTATTTTATGTTTATTTGAATTGAAGTTGTTAGTGACTCTCGAACCAATTCTCAATTCTATTTAATTTTGAATTATTGTGGATGGAGTCGCCGGTGGCTTTCCACTTATGTGATGAAGTCACTAGTGGCTTCAAAGTCATTTTATATGTTTTTTATTTGTTCGAAATGAAGTTGCCAATGGCTTTTGAACTAATTTTATTTTACTTTTGAATTCTTGAAATGAAGTTACCAATGGCTTTAGAGTTTTTTATCTATTTTTTTAAACGGAGTCGTCGGTGATTTCAAGATTATTTTATTTGAATATCTATTTATTTGAAATGAAGCCACCTATGGCTTTTCATTTGTGTGAAGAAGCCATCAATGCCTTTTAAATCGGTTATCCGCTCCTTACTCGACCCAAATAAGGTGGTCGATAACTTTCTACTTGCATGACAAAGTTATCGATAACCTCTTCGATGGCTTACCACTTGTGTGAATGAAGTCATCAATGACTTACCACTCATGCTAATAAAAGACTATCTATTTTTAGAAACTCATCTACTTGTTGATAATAAGTCATGTTCACTCAAGACTAGTCAAAATTCCAACTTTGTCCACCTTTCCTCTTTGAGTAAAGGGTATTGGCCTTAGACCAACTCGAACCCCCAACTACTCTATTTTACATCCAAACATTCGAACTACTTTATTTTCATATCTTAGAAAAATAAACTTATTTAAATAGATGTAGAAACATAACACGAGTAACAATCAAATTTTTATATTCACATGTAAACAATATAGCCTACCTTAGGTAGGATAAGATGATAGTGATATTATATCTTCCTCATATATAATCGACCCTTTTATCTAGATATTTATATAGATCGATATATTTAGAGTTTTGTAGTTATCTCCGATTAGCTAAGTGACGACTCTTTATTCATTTGTGATTCCACATTCCCTCTCGCGGGCTAATGTCGATAATAAATATAGACCAAACTTCATCACGATCTTCATAAATTCAACTAAAGAAATAATCGGCCATTAATTTGGTCAAAACACCACCAACTAGCCTCAACCCAAAACGTAAATGATAATCTTGACATAAGACTCAATCAATAGCCTCGGCTCAATCTCATACAACAACTTTGGTCCAAAACTCTTCAACTTTAATTTTGGTTGTGGATCAATAATTTTTTACCCAAATGCTTATTTTGACTCTTCTCCAAGCCTATGTCTTTATTGGCCGACCTATTAAGTAGCCTATGTTCTCATCAACCTATTGGACATTGAGTAGTCAATATTATTTAGCCTCTATGTTCTTATCGTTAGGACTTAGGACTTTTATAGATTGATATTAGATAATATGTTTAACATCCCTACATACTTTTGCAGATTAACATCAAATATTGTCTCGAACATACTTTTGTAGATTAAGATCAAATCTTGAACATCCTTTTATGCTTTTATAGATTAACATCAAATATTATTTCTAAAATTTTCCAAGTGAAGGACTTCTTTAACATCCCTACATACTTTTGTAGATTAACATCGGATAATGTCTCTAACATCTCTACAAACGAAGGACTCCTTTGAAAGGAGCTCGAGCTTTAAAGAAACCTAACCTAAAGTTGCTTCTTAATCACTAAGTCTTTAACAAAATAAAAATCTATCTTGATGTGCTTAATCTTTACATGAAACACGGGAGTATCATAGAGATAGGTGGCTCTTACACATTATCACTAGACAAGTCTCAAACAAAATAAAAATCTATCTCAATGTGCTTAGTCTTTACATGAAACATTTGAATTAGCGAGTTTCTAACAAAATGAAAATCTATGCTTAGTCCTTGCATGAAACATGTTAGTAGAGAGTCTCTAACAAAATAAAAATATATCTTAATATGCTTCTCAATGAGCTTAGTCCTTACATGAATCATAAGATTAGTAGAGAAATAAGTGGCTTTTATATTATCACAACATAAAACTGGACAAGTCTTTAATAAAATTAAAATCTACCTCAATATGCTTAGGATTAGCAGGATAGATAAGTGGCTCATACATTATCACACCATAAAACTAGACAAAACAAGTTAGCGTGACTAATTATAGCCGTATGATGACTCCTATAACTCCTATGGTGAGCTTTCCATTATTGTTTAAATATGATTGTCAAACGATTCATCGAGCGTCTATCAAATGCATTTTGTCCTATGGACTATAATTCTCTACAAGTTTCTCTAATTTTGCAAGCTTTCTCTAATGTTGACTAAGCATCTTAGGATGCCTAGTTGATCGTAGATCCACTAGTTGTTTTGCAATTTATCTAGAGCATAATTTTGTCTCATGATTCATGAAGAAATAAAATATCATTGCTCATTCATTAACTAAATTTGATTGCCAATGTTATAACCGATTAGTGTGTTGCAAGAATTAGGTATTCAATTTACCTCTTGTATCCATGTTGCACCTCAATACCATAATAATAATAATAATAGACCTAAGAAAAAATTCTTTGTTAATTGACCCAATAATTTTGTCGATAGTAGTATGTTGTTTCTCTTAATAAGAAAGTCATCAACATTTATGAGTAGATACATACACAATATATATATATATATATATATATATATATATATATATATATATGAGTTAACAAAACCAATGCTAATAAGAAAAGTAGATAGTTGTTAGAACTAAGCTCATGGAACTTGTTAGAGTTCATATAAAGCTTATAGAGCTTGCAAATCAAATCCGATTTTAAATGATCCTCAATTTTTTTGGTTGTTATTAGATCTTTTCAACCTCAAAGTTGAAAGAAGGTTTTTCTTCACACTTATAATGAAGTACTCAATCTTTCCACAATCAATATGCGATAAATCAATAATCTCCCTCTTTACACCTTGCATATTTTCTCACACTTATAACCAAACACTCAACCTTTTCACAATCAATATGGGATAAATTAACAATCTTTCCCTTTAACAATTACTATGGAATAACTCAACAATCTTTTCATTTACACATGGTGCTCTAACTTCAACTTTGGAGAATCGTTTAATTTAGACCCTAATACCAAATTTGAATTAAAGATATTAAAGACGTATGAAGACTTGTTTTTAGACGTAATTTATCTTTTGTATTGCATGTTGTATATATATAGCTTACAAAAATACAAGATAGCTTTAAACGTTATTCTAAAAAAGTATTTAATCCTAATCGCACGTACATATTTATTAGTTTGTTTAAGATATAATAATTTGGACTATAATTCTAATTTTTATAAACAATTCGAAGATTTTTAAAAATTAACATCGGATATTATCTCCAACAACCGCAATCCAAAAGATCTCTTCATGGTTATCTCTAATATAATTGATAACTCCATGTACATTATCCATGCGCATTATGGACCTATGGTTAATCGATTATCGTTGCTTGACTTGATTTTCTATAATTTACGATCAAGTATTATTATTATTATGATCTTTTTCTTTTTTTTTCTTTTTTTTAGAGATAACCATAATTTACGAGGCAAGTATTATTATTATTATGATCTTTTTCTTTTTTTTTTTTTCTTTTTTTAGAGATAACCATGAAGAGATAGAATGTGTTAGTTTTTTTTTTTTCTCCCTTTCTTTTATTTTAAAGATTAAGTTATTTTGTATCAGCTTTCATCCTAACAATAAGCTTTCTTTTCGGTCAAGTTTTAGTTAGGTATTCATGACAAATTAATGCAAGCACAAGAATATTCTTCTCGTAATTTATTGAAACTCTTGGAAACTTTGAGGCTGATATTGAGAAAGTTTAAAGTCTAGAGACTGAAGTACAATATTAGAAATCAAGGAAAGAATAAAAGATTAGTATATCATTTATCCAAAGCCAGATATAAAAGTGGACCCTACTGGGTCCCATTTACTCCTAATGCAGAAGCAGAACACAAACACAGATGATCCTCATCACCGTCGTTAATAAATGAAAGCAAAAAAACCCGCGAACCCGCGAGATTTGGATCGGTAGGTTGGATCGACAGATTCAATTTACAGTTACAAGCAAACTTAAACACAAACCAAACACTCCCAATTTCTTTCCTCTATTAAACGACCGCAAAATACACTAAAACGACGAGCCGGTGAAGCCACAGAACCAGCTCCTCCTCTCCTCTTCAATAAATCATGGTACGGTTTAATCACTCTCTTTTCATTAAACCCTAATGAATCACTTTCTTTTCTACAATTAATCACATTTGATTAATTTGTCTTCAATTTCAATTGCTGAAAATTGGCAATTAAAGAAGATTTATTGATTGTCGCTCTTGCTTGAGTTGACTTAGTTAGGTTTATGTTAATTGTTAATTTTATTGAATTGTGTCGTTTGATTTCTGTTTTGAGCAGGCGGATGGTAAAAATCAGCGAAAACATGTCTTGCTATTAGCATATCAGAGTTTTGGGATGGTTTTTAGTGACTTGAGCACTTCACCTTTGTATGTTTACAAGTGTACATTTTCCGGGAGATTACGTCATTATCAGAATGAAGACATGGTTTTCGGAGCCTTTTCGTTGGTTTTTTGGACGCTTACAATGTTTTCATTGTTTAAGTATGTTGGATTCATGTTGTGTGCAAATGATAATGGCGAAGGTGAGCATTAAACGTGGGTTCATTGATGCTGTTTTACTCTCTTTTTTTATGTTTGGTGATGTTGTTGGGTTGTATTGGCAGGAGGGATTTTTGCGTTGTACTCGGTTATTTGTAGGCACGCGAAGTTTTGTATACTTGCTAATCAACAAACGGCAGATGAAGAGATTTCTACATATCATAGTGTGGGTTATTCGAATAGGAATGTGGTTTCGTCTCGGTTCAAGAAGTTTGTTGAGAGACATAAGAGAATGAAAACAGCTCTGCTTGTTTTAGTTTTGTTTGGTGCTGCTGTGTTTATTACCATTTCTGTCTTCACACCTGCAATTTCCAGTGAGTTGATGATTGATGGCTTGCATTTCTATGTTGTTTGTTTGATGCACCAATGTGCTGATGAATATATGGTCTTGCAGTTCTTTCATCCATTGAAGGGCTGCAGGTTCGAGCCAAGAATTTGCATCATGGTGAGTTGAACTCTCTGAAGAAAGTTAAAAAAAAAAAAAAGGTAGCCTTTTCAAATTATTTTCATATATGCACACTAGCATGTGTGCAAAGAGATGTGTATACTATGATCTAATTTATGTATCTATGACTCTAATATTGTCATGACATTTGAGGGTTCATTCTGATCAGGTCAAGGATTAAGTGTCTGGTGAAACCTCAAAGTGAACCTTGTAAGAACCCAAACCTTCTTAAACAGCCACTTTCATCTGCTCGTATCCAAAAGCATGATGTAGCTTAGCTTAGTGAAAGATAGCATCTTGGCTGATGTGATGATGAGATCCTGTGATTTCATGACTGATCCATGCTGACAGAAATTCCATGTCATGTGAAGTTTGATATGGGTTAAAATGATTAATGGCCTTGGATGCTTTGACATAGACTCAAAGTTCAAAATGTAATTCTGTAGTTTTTATTCTCCATATATCTGGTCCATTTGTCTTTATTGTGGAAAGAACCATTTGTCTAAGTTTCAGTTGAGAGCTTTTTTTTTATTACAATTCCTTAATGATTAAAAAAAAAAAAAAAGGAAGGCAGAAGTAGCATCAATTTAACTGTCTGGTGCTGGACTCTTTTAGCTGAAATAGTTGAGGAAAGAACAATGGGGACTGTAATTTGCCAGAATTTCTTCCATTAGAAACATATTTTGACTCCATGGTATATTCACCGTTCTGTTTAGTAATACTTCTATGTACACACAGGTATGGTGGTCATCATTGCCTTGCTTTTATTGATTGGCCTTTTTGTATTGCAACACTATGGCATGCACAGGGTTGCCTTCATGTTTTCTCCCATTGTGATTCTATGGTTACTGTCCATTGCCATTGTTGGCACCTACAATATCATTACTTGGAATCCAAGAGTATACCAGGCTCTTTCTCCATATTATATCTACAAGTTCTTTGGGGAAACTGGAAAGGATGGTTGGATTTCTCTTGGCGGAATACTTTTATGCATTACTGGTAATGGCATTTGAATTTGGTTTAGTTCATTAAGCTTTGTCATTGTCTCATGTATGCTCCTTTACTTGACTGCAGGAACCGAAGTTATATTTGCAGGGCTAGGCCAATTCACAGCTTCATCAATAAGGGTATGTGCTACCAATGATTCTCCAAAGGATTTGGAGCATCCACTATGTTGGTGATATTGTGCATGGATCTAACTTTTTGAATTCCTTAGCAATGGTTTAGAAAAAAGCTTTTGGTACAACACAGTAGTGGTAGGAATAGCAGTATAATGCTGATAATTTGTGATGCTATTGCCCTCTAGTAATTTGCAAAGTGACACCTGCACACTAGTCATCTGTCCACTTGGAAAGGTCTTCTCAAATTTTTCCCAGAATACCACTGCCACTAAAAACTGGTGTAAAAAATCTGTGGCGTGGTCAACTTGCCAAAATCAGTCATTTATTGGATCTACAAAGGAATAATTTATAGCAATTAGCATAACAGGTTGAAGATTATGCTTAGGATTTATGTTGCATCTTCATTTTACCTCAATATCTTTATTCACATATAGGCACTAAATTGCAACATCTAAAACCATTTGAACTGGTTACTATGTGCAGGTTGCTTTTTCATTTTTCGCATACCCATGTTTGGTGCTTCAATACATGGGCCAGGCTGCATTTCTTTCAAAAAACTTTTCTGCTGTATCCACGAGCTTCCATTCTTCCATTCCTGGTAAGCTGATCTTTATTGCAAACATGTTCCAAGTCCTCCTGTTTTGCCTTTTTTACACACATTCCTGAGACTTTCTCTGTGCTTGATAATCTTTAGTAGAATAAAAGAGATTTCAGATGGCAAATATGTTGTTCTCAGAATGATAAGTTTCAGATCTTTTTCAGCACTTGTGCTATGAGTTGCTAGAATTTTCTCTTATTTGCAGTTTCTCACTTCTGTCTGATGATTAACAACTATTTCCAGAGTCATGTTGAGATTTATTCCCTTCAGAGATTTAATAGTCAGGATAATTACCATTATCTTTTTTCATTATTATATTCTTATTCTTGTTGGCTATCTGTTTAACGAAATGCTTTTACGCTTGTTTTAGATTCGCTGTTCTGGCCTGTTCAGCTGATGGCAACTTTGGCTGCAATTGTTGCCGGTCAAGCTGTAGTCTCTGCCACATTTTCCATTGTCAAACAATGCCATGCATTAGGATGTTTTCCTCGCATCAAGATCGTACACAAAGCAAAATGGGTACATCACCAAATATACATCCCAGAGATAAATTGGACACTTATGATTCTGTGTCTAGTAGCCACAGTTGGTTCTCAAGACACCATTCATTTAGGAAATGCGTATGGTCAGTCTCTTTTTTTTTCTCAATAAATATTTCACATTGATTTTTGAAAACATCAAATCTTCTGCTTTCATTTGTGGATATGCTTACTTTAATGTGATTATAATATTAAACTCAACAAAGATGTGGTAATTAGAGTGCACTTGGTTTGACTTTTGAGAAGTTACTTTTGATTTTGAATCATAAGTTATTTGATAAGTTGTTTTTGACTTTGAGTCGTAATATGTTTGGTAAGAAAGTTACAAAAATATTTTTTAAGATAGTTTGTTTTCATATTGCTTTGAATTGAATGAATTTTGAGTCAAAATTGACTTGTAGAAGTTTAAATTCGTCTTTTACCTTGAAGTCAATTTTCTACATAAATCTAAAGGTAACCTTTTTATTTAAGTCGGAAATTATTTCTAAACAAACACAGTTATGGATTTTCCTTTGTCAAAGTTATAAAAACAATTTAAATCAGTGAGTAGAAGTCATGGCAAACACAACCTGAATTTCTCAAACAGATATCACTTTATGATTACGATTTATAATCAGTAACATAGGAAAGCTGTTCTCGTCTTTGGAAATATGCATCAACTTGATCCTTTTGAATAGTTATTTATGAGGAATTCAGATACAAGTTTTAAACGATTCAGTGGTTAAACAACATAGTATTTCATTTGCTCAAAGCTGATGTTGCTACTTCAAAAAAGCTAATGCTGCGTTCTCATTTTCAGGGATTGCATGCATAACTGGGATATTTGTGACAACATGTTTGACATCAATGGTCATTGACTTCGTATGGCACAAGAGCCTCGTGGGTGCTCTTTTGTACTTCTTATTCTTTGGAATAATAGAGATCATTTTCCTAACATCTTCATGTATGAGAATTCCCAAGGGTGGATGGGTTCCTCTTGTGCTCTCTGCAGTCTTTATGTTTGTCATGCATGTGTGGCATTACGGGAGCAGGAAGAAGTACCTGTATGATCTCCATAATAAAGTTTCCTTGAAATGGATCCTCACTTTAGGTTCTGATCTTGGGATTGTAAGAGTTCCTGGGATTGGTCTTGTGTACACTGAGTTAGCAAGTGGAGTCCCAGCCACATTTTCCCATTTCTTAACTGACTTGCCGACATTTTATCAAGTGGTTGTATTTGTCTGTGTTAAGACTGTTCCCATTCCTTATGTTTCCCAGAAAGAAAGGCATCTTATTGGCCGGGTCGGCCCCAAACCTTACAGGATGTACCGCTGCATTGTTCGATATGGATACAAAGATGTCCATGAGAATGATGAGTATGATTTTGAAAATGCTATTGTGATGAGTGTAGCAGAGTTCATTCAATTGGAAGCAGAGGGCTGTGGAACTCCTGATGGCTCTGTGGATGGTCGGTTGGCAGTTGTGAGGTCATCTGAAAATTTTGGAAAAAGATTCATGATGTCAGAATCTGAGGGCAATAAGGAGAGCAGCAGTTTGAGATCCCCTGCATCTGGAAGTAGCTCCAGGTCAGCTGCATTGCAGAAATTGAAGTCCATGTATGAGCAGGAGTCACCACAATTCTGCAATAGGCCTCGAATCCAGTTAAAGTTATTGGATACAACATACAAGGATTCCCGTGTCAAGGAAGAACTCTTAGAGCTCTTGGAAGCCAAAGATGCTGGGGTAGCTTATGTAATAGGTCACTCTCATGTTAAGGCAAAATGGAATGCAACATTCTGGAAGAGGCTTGTGATCAATGTCTTTTACTCCTTTTTACGCAAAAACTGCAGGTCCCCTAGTGTCGGTTTGAATATTCCTCATATTTCCTTGATTGAAGTGGGCATGAACTATTATCTGTAATGCAGCCTTCTGTGGATGTATCTTCCTCAAATGCATTTTCTGGTGAAATTTGCAAGGAAATGATTAGAGGGCCATCGGCAGTTCCTTTATTTCAGTGACTCCATATTGGCTTTAGTTGGTGGCATATAAGCATTCCTGGAAGGGGCCCTATTGCACCTGTTTAAGAGAAGAAAACAGAGCTGCATCCGAATAGCAAATCGTTGAGTTGATTGTTCAAATGGGATTTGTCAAATTTGTCCAGTTCATTATTCAAGTGGGATTGTAGACAAGCTTCCAGCTCTGAAGCCAGATTTTTTTGCCACGCCACGGCTCTCTTATTTTGATGCATGAACTCATAATGTAATTCTTCATGCAAAAACATAAATTATTTTTGCTTGTTTCTCTATGGTCTCTGGAGACAAGAACATATCTGTATAAAGAAATAATTGCAGTTGAAAATTTTTATAGGCAAAAGTACAAGAATTTGTTATTTTGACTGGCTAGGATCTCATTTTCAGAGTTTAACTTTGACAAGGCTTACATCACCTAATATCGAGCGCGTGAAGAACGTTTTAAATTACAACAAGAGGGGAGGCAATGCATGTCAATGTTTCCCACAGCCTCCTCTTTCTACGGAATGCCACCAGAGTCTGATCTCAAGGAATTCATGATTTCTTTTTTACCCTTTTTTTTCTTTTTAGGTGTGCAAAGCTACACGGTGGATGGAATAAGGGTAAAACATCACCTCCCGAAACAAAAGGACCTAAAACGTTAAAAGCATAAATAGAGCATATGATTCACGGTATAGTTTGTTTAAGGAAACATTCCCCCACCACCACCACCCCAACACACACACCACCACCAACCCCAACCCCCCCCCCCCCCCCCAAGAAAAAAAAAACGTGATCTGATGTGAAATTTTGTTCTTTTCTTTCTTTCCTTGATAAAAACGTGGTCCTTAAAAAAAAAAAAAAAAAAAACATGAGTGATAAAGAGTTTTTGAAAAGAAATGTATTATAGAAAGCATTTTTGTAAAGTGGGAAAACATTTTGATTACAATATGTAAGAGTCAAAATCTTGAAGATCCTACTTTTGACAAAAGCAATGCCATGTGGATTATTGTTCTAATAACAATTATTGGTTTTTTTATTTTTCTTTGTACAAACAGTTTTTATTCCTATTTATATAAAAAAAAATGAAAACAAAAACCACACCTAATACCAAATAATTAAGAATTAAGGAAAAAACCTCTTTTATAATGTCATCCAAGATTCGTTTGTCCTCTTCAACTAAAAAGAACAATAACTAGTTATATATGTATACTTTAATTTTTCTTTTTGAGATTAATCCATCCTCCAGGTTTATGTCATTTATCCCAAAAAAAAAAAAAAACAATTACATAAAAAATCATAATAAAAATCATTCAGATTTATTATAAATCAAAATTTGGGTTACATTTATTTTCTATTATTTAATTATTATTATATTTTATTTGTTTTACATTTATTTTACTTTTTATTTTATTCTTATTTTTATTTTGATCTATTTTTACCTTTATTACCTTTATGTTTAATTTTAGGAATTCTCTTTTATATTTTTTTAAAGAAAAATAAAAAAAATACATAATAAAAAAATTAGAAAAAGGAAAAAAGATTGGGAAGATGATTTGGGATTCAATTGAAAAATAGTGTGAAAAGTGAGGACGGAAGGACATTTAATTAGGGATGTAATTAAAAAGGGATTAAAAAATTAAGAAACTTGATTGAGAATTAATCGGTATCAAATTAAAAGAAATCAAGAGAATAAGAATTAAACAATTTCAATTAAGGAGGTAATTGAAAAAAAAACGAAACATACATTGAAATTGAAAAAAAAACAAACAAACAAACAAACCAAGGAAGAACCAAAATTGTTTTTATCCCAAACTTTGAAAAATCTCTATATAAACGCTTTTTCACTTCATTTTTTGAAGAGCCATCATTACCCCCTATCCCAAAAATTCTAGCCTCCATTACTCATACTCAAAAACCCTAACCTCTATCACCTATATTCCTACCAAAACAACCTACCCTCTATTATTCACCTATTATAAAACAATCTAATCACAACAACCCATCATCTTGACTTATATAAAAAAAACCCTAGTTGAAAAAATATAGCATCTACTATTCATCATTTTCTTCCCTTTTCCACCCATAAAAAAAAAAAAAAATCTAGTTAGGAAAACTATTCATCTTTTCCTAAAAATGTAGAGGTCGGGACATGGATAAAAAAAAACCCTAAAAAGCCCAAAAATTTGCCAAACAAGCGCTAAGGAGGACAAAATCAATCGACCCATTTTTTTCGACCCGTTATACATGTTTACCATTTCTTCTAATAAATTGGCCATTTCTAGCCTAATCAAACTCCCAAAACAACCAAGAAGTGCTCCCCACCCAAAGACAACCAAAGCACCTTAAGAAATATAGCTAAAAAACATCTAGAATCACTCAAAATCGTTGAAGAAGTGTCCAACCAACCCATTTCTTCTCTCTCGGATTTGGCCATTTTCCCATAAAACTAAGAGCTTCCACCTCCACGAAGGCTTCCTTAAGCCTCTAGAAACCATTCCCTTTTTCAACTACGGAAGAAAATGCCTAAATCAATGATGATTGATTGAGGGCTCGATCTCGACCCGTGTAACACAATCGAAAAAAATCTTTCATTTTCGATCAAATTGAACATTCTAACCACTACAAGAACACTCCTCATAGTCTCCTAATTTAATTGGTGTCCTTAAAACCCCCTACCCTCACTAGAATCATCATCAAAAATAGAGGGAGAGAAGGTCGAATTTTTATCGACGTAGATCTCCCTCATCCATTAGCGACGATGGCCGCAACCACCATATAAAGGTAGAGCGAGACTTTCTCTAGCATACGATCTAGTCGACGATCCTCAAAGTGACTGGAGTAGCCACCAACATCGGCTAGATAGTGACAGCGTGTATAGTGCATGTACAAAGGGTATTTGGGTCATTTCTCAAATAAAAGGCGAGTTCGAGTCATTTTTAGTAACTTCACAAGACATATTTTGGTCACTTTTTAGTGATCTGCTTGATTTTTTCTTACCCTTTTAATTATTTTATAAGGTTCTTTTGTAATAATGTTAATTTTATTTGTGTTAAAAAACTTAGAAATATTTAGGTTATGAAATTTATTTTAATATATGGATTCGATTTGGTCATGATGTTGGACCAAAGAGTCTTCTATTTATTAGGGACGGACGATTGGTTTCAATATATATTTTATCTAACAATGAAAGTGTTAAAAAAATAATTATTATAATGAATCAAGTCAAGTTAATTTTAATTTTATTCAACATTTAACATAAACACTTTTAATTAATTAGGTCATTTCTCGACATGATAATCATGTCGGGACCTTAATTCATATTCGATGCTAAATTGATGAGGTGCTCAAATTTTGGAGTTTGATATTAATTTAATGCGATGCCGCAAATAAAAAAATTAATTTAAAAAGTGTTTTCTCGTTGTCTCAAAAACCTTAATAATTAGGTTGTCCTCTAATATATCGATTATGTTGATACTTAAATTGAATCCGATATTGAATTAATGAGACTCTCGACTATGAGGTCCAATGATTGATTCAATATGATGCTATAAATATAAAAAAATTAATTTGACTTAGGTAATAAAGTTGGAATTTTGACTTGAGAATTAACTTGGCAAAAATTAAAATTTTTAAGAGATAAACTTTTAGGAATAAACCAAATATGATATCTTTTTTTGAAAATGATACATTTGGATGATTGATATCTTTTCTAAAACATAACCAACTCTTTATCCTAAAATCTCTAAACTAGTGTCATTTTTAAGCTTCCTAATTCATTTAATACTAGGTGACGACTCCAAAACGTGGTTTAATTCACTTCTTCGATAAACAAAATAAATAAACAATTTCTAATAGAACTTTTTGGAAGTCCTCTAAGTGTCGAGTAGTGACAACATGACGACTTCATTAAGGATATACGGTTAGGCCATAGGTTTAATTTTTTTCTAATTTATCTCCTTTATTTATTTTTATCATTTATTATCCAAGTCATTTATTTTTCAAGTTCATTTATTTTTTCATTTAATTAATTCTAAGTCATTTATTTTATGCAGTTTCATTCTCACATTTTAATTTTTGAATTTATTTCAAGTAATTTAATTTATGCAATTTATTTTCCTCACACTTCAATTTTTGTGTATCATTTTTTAGACTAGGTTGGATGTGTTTATTTTTAACAATTGCACACACCACAAATGAAGCATGTTGAAGCTTTGGACTCGAGCTAAACCTTGTAGGATTTAGAAATAAAGATTTAGAGGCAAGTATGAAAAAAGTCTACTAATGCTCTTCCAAACTCCTATTTGGACTAAAACTCATCCTATACATAAAAAAAAATTTATAGAATTACCTTCCCATACTTCCCGGTGCATAAGGTTAGAGGTTAGATCACTCTATTAGTAATTTGAATAGTTTGAAAGCTTGAAAAGACTATAGGATTAGATAAGTTTTTCCTAAATATTGTTTAGAAAAACTAGACCTTTCCATTAAGGTTAACCCATTCGGACACAAACTATCTTCAAATGATGACCATTCTAACCTTTTTTATATATAGGTTATCATCAAAACAAATCATGATAAAAAGAATGAAAAATGCCATTGTCAATTTATGGTCGGATCGAACGGGCTTAATTTGAGAAAGGAGACTATCTACCTCCAAATTTTATGTCAAAGTCTGCTAGAAAAGGTGGGACTCGGTAATAGAATGGCCGATGTGGGCCTTCTCCTTGATTCGTCGAGAAATCCTTACTCTTTAAGACAAGTTTAATTTTCAAAAAACATATGGTGACATCATTCAACTATTTAAGGTGAAGACTCGGATCTCGTGCTTTCATGCCATGGTAGGGCATTAGAATCCCGAATGCCACTCGTTTCACTTTTAAAAGTACGGATCCGTCACCCACATTGGTA